CTGTATATATATATATATATATATACACACACACACACATACACATCGTGCAGTTCATGCCCTATATACGTGTATATATATATATATACACACAAGGTGGTTCAAATATGACTGGGACTGATTTTTTTTTTTAAACCATAATTGCCAAACACTTACTTGCACATGTCAGTCTTCAACATACTCCCTTCTGGAGTCAACATATTTTTTCCAATGTTCTGGAAGCATCCTGATGCCCTTTTCAAAAAAAGGCTTGTGGTTCGTGGTGTATCCACTCCCGAATAGTTTGGATGACGGCGTTGTCGTCCACTAACCACATGCCTTGCAAGTCTGATTTGGGCCTTCCAAACAGGTAGAAATCACTTAGTGCCAAATTGGGACTGTACAGTGGATGTGTCAGAAGGTTCCATCTCAATTTCTGGAGGGTTTCCATTGTTGTTTTGGCTGTATGGGGGCATGAATTGTCTTGAAGGTAGGCTACCCACTTTCCACCTGTCTTCTGCTTGGATCGGAACTTTTCCTTCACGTCTTTTGCCAGGAGGTCTGAGTAATAAGCTGCATTGACTGTTCTGGCATCTGTCAGAAAGTCTACATGGATAACCCCCTGCTAGTCCCAGAAGAACGTTGCCATCACTTCCAGTCATGTTTTAACCACCTAGTATATATACAAGGTGGTTCAAATATGACCAGGACTGATTTGTGTGTAAACAAGCCGCACTGTGCAGCAGCTGTGTGATCTTGAGGGAGTGAAGCCACAACCTCCACCCTCCCTCCTGTTTGGGTTAGAACCTGTTCAGTCCTGTCTGGGAGTTGCTAGAGTGATGAGCGAACAGAAGGTACCGCGGAGCATGGAACAACGCATTGTGATCAAATTCCTTGTTGGAGAAAACGTCCCATCTGCTGAAATTCAGCACAGACTCCAACAACAGTATGGGGAAGAGTGTCTCTCATGGACCCATGTGTTTGAATGGTGTAAGTGCTTCAGAGAGGGCAGAGAGCGTGTGGAGAATGAACTGCATGATCATTGGAACTTCCCATCACCGAGCCAAACACTGATCGTGCAGACGCGCTTATTCATGAGAATAGGCGCATCACTAACAAGGAACTTGGAGTAATGCTGTCCATTAGTGTTGGTAGTGTATAAGACATCATGAAATACACCTGCACTATTGCAAGGTGAATGCACGGTGGGTACCACGCACTTTGATGAACATGAACAAAATGGTGCACATGCAAGTTGCCAGTTATCTCCTACAGCAGTTTGAAGATGAAGGTGATTTTTGAAGCCTATAGTGACCACTGATGAAATGTGGGTGCACTACTTCATTCCCAAGTCCCAGCAGTCATCACGCGAGTGGCGGCATATCAGTTCTCCCAAACCTAAGAGAGCGCGGAGGAGCCGTTCAGCAGGAAAAGTGATGGCAACGTTCTTCTGGGACTGGAAGGGGGTTATCCATGTAGACTTTCTGACAGATGCCAGAACAGTCAATGCAGCTTATTACTCAGTCCTCCTGGCAACAGACATGAAGGAAAAGATCCAATCCAAGCGGAAGACAGATGGAAAGCGGGTAGCCTTCCTTCAAGACAGTGCACGCCCCCATACAGCCAAAACAACAATGGAAACCCTTCGGAAATTGAAATGGAACCTTCTGACACATCCGCCATACAGTCCCGATTTGGCCGCAAGTGATTTCTACCTGTTCGGAAGGCTCAAATCAGACTTGCAAGGCATGTGGTTTGTGGACAACGACGCTGTCATCCAGACTGTTCAGGAGTGGATACGCCGCCAACCACAAGTGTTTTGTTTTGGGCATCAGGATGCTTCCAGAAAGTTGGAAAAATGTGTTGACTCTGGAGGGGAGTACGTTGAAGACTGACATGTGCAAGTAAGTGTTTGGAAAGTATGTTTTTTTTTTTTTAAATCAGTCCCGGTCATATTTGAACCACCTTGTATGTAGTAAGCTAGGAGTTCAGCTGTGTAGTATAATGTGGTGTCTGCAGTTTTTTCAGTTTGTTGATTTGAATAGGGTTAAATATTTTTGTATGCTAGTTATAGTTGTTTTGGACTGTGATATTAAAGGACTGTGGATACTCTCAGTTTCAGAGGAACGAACAGTATGTCAGTTTCATTATTCAGCATGGCCAGATCATGGCGTACCTCCTTTAGTGCGACCACTGTTGGATATGGTGAGGTTGGTTCGTGACACCCAAGCTTCCGAGACTCTGCCAGTCTTAGTTCATTGCTCAGCAGGTTGTGGACGAACTGGTACCATATGTGCTATTGACTATGTGTGGGGTCTTCTTCGAGCTGGAGTAAGTATTTTCCACATTATCAGAATTTTGTTTTGGTGTTTTAGCATCTAAGACCACCTCTGTGGTCTAGTGGTTAGAGTTCCTGGCTACAGATCCTGAGGTCCCAGGTTCGATTTCTGGCACTACCAGATTTTCTGAAAAGTAATGGGTTTGAAACAGGGTCCACTCAGCCTCATGAGGATAACTGAGGAGCTATTTCAAGGAAATAGCGCGTCCAGTCTAGAAAACCGAGATTAACGGCTGTGGGGATTTATTGCGCTAAACACACGACACCCTCTATCTGCAAAAGCTGGTACTAACTTTGCCGACAAGCGGTGGTTGCTTGGTCGGTATAGTTCTCTTGCGGACTAGAGGCCATGGAGTTTCTTTAGCTTCTAAAATTAGCTTCATGGGACAGGGTCTTCCTTAAAATATTGATGACTCAGCCAATCAAAGAACTCTCTGCTTTTATGGAACCCAAATGTTTAGTTCTATTTTAACAGAAACCTGCCATTGGATCTCATCTATAACCATTAGAACTGAGTCCACTCTTTCACACCTTAACATCTGTAAGACACATTAATATTATTCTTCCATGTAGTATATCTGCATTTCCAATGTTTTCTATTCCTTCGAGTTTTTATAACCAAAATTTTGTATGCATGTGACATATCCCACAGATCTCATTTTCTTAGTTTAATCACCCTGTGCATTAGATGAAGACTATATATTATGGAGTTCCACTTTTCTAAATTTTAGGTTTCTAAATAGGACACAAGATACAGAACTATTAGGCTTATTTTGGACTCTATCCATCATCTGGTATATATAAGACAAAAACCACAACGTTTCAGAGACTGGATCTGTCTCCATCCTCAGGTGGATGGGGCATGATAGTGATTGAGACTAGCTCTTTCTAACAGACCCAACTGAGTAGGTGTATCCTGCCCCATCCACCTGAGGACGGAGACAGATCCAGTCTCCGAAACATTGTGGCTTTTTGTCTTATAAATACCAGACGATGGATAGATTCCAAAATAAGACTAATAGTTCTGTCCAGCATACACCATCATCAGAATCCTTTCAAGTCTATTAGGACACAGTATAGTGATGCCTGTTGCTAGGCACACTAGTAAAACATCAGTAGATTACATGAGCACGAAATATGATATCCAACTGTCGATATTCTAGTGAAAATCTGATTATTGTGAGTAAAACTTACAAGTCAGTAAATCTCAACACATTGCTTAATGCTTTTATGGGCTTTGATGTGATGCTTGTGGACTGGAACTTCATGGAACCATAAATTGAATCGATTTACAGCCTCATAACATATTTCTCTGAGATTAATTTTAATAATCTTCCATTTCTGCTTCGATCCTCCAAATGACCTATTTCTGAGAGGTTTTCCTGTGAGAGTTTCGTACTCAGTGACACATAATAAAATTTTAGGTATATTTCAAGGCACAGTATCTGTTCATTTGATCACACAAATGTTTAACACTATCCTGGTGCGTTGATACCATGCCTGCCTGAAGTGCAAGAAATTGTGTTCCTGTAGATTCTGAATTTTTGTTGTTTTACTTTACACGAATCTTCCTCCCTTCTTTCATTTTAGAAACTCAACAAGGACTTCAGCTTATATAAACTGGTTCAAGATATGCGAAAACAGCGGATTGCCATGGTACAGACCAAAGAACAATATGTTCTGGTTCATCAGGCTGTGAGAGAACTTTTCCGTGAACAATTGCGCATGATTGATTCTCATCCCTATGAGAACATTGATGCAAATGGAATGCCATTAGTAAAAGAGGAACAAGAACCGATGTATGCCTGCCCCACCATAGCCGATCCTGCAGAAAATTGTAGTGAAGGTTAGCTCCATTTTTCAAGAAGTCATTTGATTTTCATTAATTTGTGTTTAAATTATCATGGTAATCTGTGATAGTTAACAAACTGAGTGTAAAATGCATGTTAAAATTTGGTCAAACAGCAACTTTATTTGTAATAATTTGTATTTTGGCATCAGTATTATGCCATCATTAGACCTTTACATTCAAATGAGTAGAGAGAAAGTTTTGTATGTTATGAAGTAGTGTAGCCTGCTAATTTGAATTAGATGAAAAAGAGTGTCTGATAGCACAGAGATCTGTATACTTTAGAAGTAATATAAACTTTCTGGCAATAACTCAAGTGGTGTAGTTACTTGGACATTTGTATTATGTTAGTCACTTCATGTAATTTTTTTCTTAATATTTTCAAATGAGTACCTGAATGATATTTTAATTCATTCTTGTATATAGTGATATTTTAATTCATTCTCTTATATAGATTAGATTTTATTAGCAACTGAATGACAGGGAAGAATTTAGTTTATGCATTTTTAATGGTTTTCAAATAAATAATATTATACCATGAATCTGAACATTCACCTCCATCTGGTGCTGAGGTCAAGAATTGTGGAGCTATAACTCCACTCCCCGATATATCTATGTGGAATGGGGCTTAATTAATTAAGCACAGGGACAACTTTACATTCTTTTTTTCCTTAGCACTACAGCCCCAGTGGGCCTAGGCCTACCTCCATGAACTTCTCCATTCACTTCAGTTTTTCTAGATCTTATACATTCGGTAGGACTCCTTGGGTGGGTGATCAGCTCATCGCAAGGCCTCTACCTGTACACAAACACAGAAAAACGCACACACACAAACTAAACATCCATGCCCTGAGTGGGATTTGAACCCACAATCCCGGTTTCCAAGCGAGCGAAGACAGTACATGCCTTAGACTGCTCGGCTACCGTGACCGGCCAACTTTACATTTTCCATACCCTATTTGTAACAAACATTGGTCGCCCTTGCTTTTTATTTTGAAGGTTATGTTTAAATCTTGGTCCAGCGACCTACTATCATGCCTGGTGGTTTCATGGTTTTCCTCAGTTCCTTTAGGCTAATGCTTGGATAGTAGCTGAAATGGACCATAATTGTTTCTTTGCATATCCTTTCTAATGCATTTTTGTTAATCCTATCTTTTGACTCTACGTGGCCTGAGCTACTGACACCATCATTAAATAAACCATATTTGTCTTTGATACACGCTGGTATATTTTACTGACTGAATACGAGTACTGTATTTGATTCTCATCAGTTATTTTCTTTTTTCTTTAGAAAAACAAGATGGAAAGGAAAAAGAATTTGAAGAAAAAATTCCTCCTCTACCACAGAAGAAAAGAGGTCATATTGCATCTTCCAAACAGGAAAAAGAAGTTGAAAATTTAACTGAGAAGCAGAGGTCCATTGTAGAGCAGTCATCTGCAAGCATGTCTTACAAACCTCGAATTGCTAAGTTGAAGGCTTTATTTGAACGTAGCCCAGCAACAAGGGAAAGTAGAAGTTCACAGTCTAAACAGCGGCACTGTCAGCAGGTTTCTCGAAGTCATTCACTTGGTGCTGTCCGTGTCAGGACTGACAGTCAAGAAGACCAAGTGGTTGTAAAAGCAGAAGGACAGAGAGAGAGTAATGTGAATAGCCCTGTTTTATGCCATGCAACTGTGCATGTTCCCCAGATTACCACAATACAGGGATCCTATCCAACTGTCAGGCCAACTCTTCCTGTCAAACGTAGTAAGTCACTGAAAGTTTTAGGTAGCAACCAACATCGTAAACTTTCTTTAGCCACAGGTGTAAGCCCTCTTACACCATTAAATATGTCAGATGATATGGTTAGCTCAGAGAAGAATGCCACATCTGTGAAACCGGCAGATAGAATTCTATCACACCGAGGTGAAAGTGCATCAAATTTGAAACCTTTAGTTCCTCCAAAGAAATATTTGACAGATAGGAGTGGAGAAGTTAGTATAAATGAGCCTGATGTTGACAGCAGTAGATCTTCAGAGCAAGATGATAAACACTGTATATCTCAGACACAGTTAGACTGGATGAATCGTTATGAAGACAATAGAGTGGTTCCTAGAAGAAGGCGGAGTTTGGAATCTGTTAACTTTGAGGATGTGGCAGTACCTGGAGGAAGTGGTCTTAACCATCATGATCCTGTTTTACCACCACCACAGCAATTGAAACTTACAGGTGGTGTTGCCTGTAAGGTGCTGCAGGGCAGCAAAAATTACCTTGTTAGCAATGTGAAATGCAATGTTTCATGTGATCAGCTGGAGAAGAAAGTGCAGAATTGTGAGGCTGCTGATAGTTTAACAATAGAAGCTCAGAGGAAAGTAAATGCTATTGTTGCAGGCTTGGGAGTGCGAGAACGAAGGAACAGTTTTCGACAGGCTGTGGGCACCAGTCGAGAAGTAGAGGTGAGATCAAATGGAAAGTTGAGAGAGTATGAGGCAATTTGGCCTAGTGTTGGTAATGTTATTGCACCTCCATTGAATGGGAGCAGTGTGCAGACACAAGACAATTTTTCCTCAGGGTCATATGTAAATGTTATCTCAGAAAACAGTTCTACTGCAGATTTAATGCGGTCCCAGTTACTGCAAACAAAAGTGAAGTCAGGTAATTGGTTTCAGGCACGACATCCTCGAGACCCCATAGGTGACAAACTTCAACATCCAGATGAAAGGAAACACATTCCTTTTTCCAGTGTACTGATAAACAGTAGTGTAAGCCAGATTAAAGGACTATGTAGGGAAGGGTTAGAACCAGAGCAGAATATGAACATGTATGGGAAAGTTGGCAGTTCAAATGTCAGACTTGGAAAACTGGGTGTTCAACCGAAACATGTCTTAGGAAGTAAAGTGTTGAGTCCAGACAGGACTGGATTACATCACAATCATGTGGGGACTGATCCAAAACTTAGTGCAACTAAGTCTGCTTCTAATGGTTTTAGTTTGTCAGTTGATGCTAGTAACAGTTTTCAGTCATTAGCTTTGTGTAAGTTGACAGACCAAGCATCAGAATCTGCTGCTTTGAGGCCTAGGAAGCTTAAAAATATTCCAAATTCTAGATCTATCAATTTGAAGACTAATTCAACACAAGAAAATAGTTTGCAGACTGCAGATGATCAGGAGTTGAGGACACATCCTTGGGGCGGAATGACAGCAGCTGCAGGCAAGATGCCAGCAAAGGAGGTCTCTTATAAATGTAGTCCTTCTAGTGTTCCATGCCACAGAAATGCAGCAGGGTTGGTTGTAAGTCATGGACCAGGCCCAAGAATAGGTAATGCTGTGCAGAGCCAATACAAGTCAGTTCTAGCAGTTGGTGGTGCCATCTCCAGGCCTACAGAAGTTAACAGCAGCAGTCATATGGCTGCATCTTTCACCCAACCTAAGAAACAGTGCAGCATGCAAGAAGTTAGTTATGGTATGTATTGTATGTTCACTTCCAGAATTCTCTTGACTTTGACTTATGCATCAGTGTTTTGTCTGTATTGTGCAAAGAAGATGTAATTTTGTCATACAGAGCTGCTGAGCATTAGTTTTAGAAGAAATGTATAAGATCATTCTAACAACTTGTTTTTACAGAATTTTATTTATTTTTTTGTTTTTGTTTTAGTGCTGTACTAATCCTTTAACTACAACTTCATTACTTTGTTTAAATACCACACACTCCCATTATGAGATGTAATGTGTATAGATATTGTCATAGGTTAGTGACTAAACATGTTTCAGGTTGGTAACTGAATTTATTGGATACTACAAGTGAGAGTTATGAAATAGGTAACAAATGGATATGAAACATAAAACATCTGATATTTGAACCCAGTAAAAACATTTATTTCTTGACACCCCCCACCAACATTTATATGCTTGTCCCATCTCTTTACCAGTGCAGAACATGCAATCAAAGCTGTTCACTAACTATAGTTGGGATGCGTCCACAAATTGTGTCAGTGAAGCTGTTTATGATTACAAGCCACAGAAGTCAGCAACAGGATGAAGGCCTAGTATGAGCGCTTAACTAATTCCACAAGATTCCAGGAGACCAAGTCTGGTTGTATTGCCTGATCCGGCCCATACAAAAGTGCAGTCATCCTGGGAATGTGCCATTCCATACAAAATCCCATTTAGGGGCAACATTTTTTTAATCACCTTAGATTCAAATAAAATTCTCCCAGCTTGTTCGATATCTGTATTCTGCGGCATATGAGGGAGAGTCAGTAAATAGGTCAAAAATGGATATAAAACATAAAATGTGATATTTGAACCTGGGGAAAAATATTTCTTGACATATCCTCCACCAAGAATACACTTGTCCCATTGCTTTACCAGCTTGTCAAAACCTGCAGCATAGAAGTTTTTGACTGTAGTCTCAGCCACTTCTGCGCCTCCATTTCAGCCTCTTCATAATCAGTGAAATGTCTGCTACCAAGGTAGTTTTTTAGTGGACCAAACAGATGGAAGTCACTAGAGGCCAAGTATGTGCTGTAAGGCGGATGTTCAAGAAGTTCCACTGTCATTCTTAAATTCTCTCCTTGGTTGCTAGGGCTTTATGAGGTCTGGCATTGTCATGATGAAGCAGTAGCCCTCCTGCCAGTTGGCCCTGACATTTTCTGCTAATTGCACCCTGAAGCTTCAACAGAACTTACCAGTATGATGCAGAATTCATATTCTTACCATGCTTCTGAAAATGGGCTAGCAGTACTACCTGAGAATCCCAAAAACATGGTAAGCATAACCTTCCTAGCTGCTACCATACTTGTAACCTTAAACTTTTTGGTTGAGCAAGAAGGTTTGCTGGGATGTTTTCATTGCATTGAAGCATGCTATGCTTTGCTTTGGGTTGATAGTGATGCATCTATGATTCATCTCCAGTAACAGTCCTGTGAAGCATATGTTCTCCTTCATCTGCATACTGTGAGGGATGTTGCGAGGACAGACCCATTCGGTTCGTTCATCCTCGATCCTTCAGTTCTTTGAGCACCCACTGTGTGTACACTTTCCAGAAATTCAAATGATCATGAATTATGCTGTATGCTAAACCATGGGAATACCCTAGTGTAGTTGCTACACTGTCTCTTGTTAGCTTGAATGAACTCCTCCACTTGCTGCACAGTTGCTTCTGTCACAATCTCAACAGGTGACATGGTCGTGCATCATCTGCAACTTTTGAACATCCTTGAGAGAATTTATCAACACAGTTATGGACTGTTTTACGCAACAGACACTTTCCACAATAAAAAGGAAACATTTCTTTTTGAATATCCTTTGCATTGTCTTTTTTACCCACATAAAAAACGCACAACAGAACGCTGCTCTTTGGTAGTATACTCCTCAAGTACGGTCGCCATTTTGACTACCGAAACAGCCTCTGAACATATGGATGTGCATCTGCTACCTAGACTGCCATGAAGCTGGACTGTGCTGCTACCTAGTGATGCATATAGAAGACCTCTTTCATCCATTACAGCTGTTTTACTTCCATTCAGAGTCTATTTACTGACTCTTCCTCATAGTTACTCTTAACTACTGATAAATACATAAATCAATTTATGTACCCCTTTTGAAGCTGGCATAGGTGTCCAGAGATAAGGAGTAGCTCTCTCGAATGGGCCCAACTGAGTAGGTTTTACCTGAAGACAGAGTCCAGTCTCCAAAACATGTTTTGGAAAGTAAGCAGGACAGTTTTGACATAAAGACAAGACGATGGTTAATGTCCAAAAACATAACATTTGTACTAATGTACCATCCTCACACACTTTTAGATTTTAAATAAATTTCATGAGGCTAATGTGCAGTACGTCTTCTATGAAATAAAAAATTTGTATTTACAAGGTAACCATCTATGAGAGGACACAGTTTCTTAAACCAGAGAACCACAACCAATGTTTTGCTTGTCTGGTAGCTTGTCTGTCAAACACTGCTGATCTTAAGTTCATATGATTATGGATATTTCCCATGTTTATGTGACTTTTCTTCCAGTATATTCCAAGATTATAATTTTATTTTATTCACTAAATTGGAAGAGCTATTCATCTGGCTGTGTAATTAAGCAAGTACAATAAGTATAAACCCTCACATTACATAAAATGGAAGCTTTTTGTAGAGAGAATATTTGATTTAGACACAAATTAGAAATGTTTTCCTGAGAACTGAGTTTTTTCCACACTTATATCCACTTACTGGAATTTATCCATTTAATCCCTTACAAATTTCACCTCTTAATACTACACTTTTAGTATTAGCTGGAGTTGTCAACAATATTAATTCATCAAAAACTTAGATTTTATTTTTTGACCTCACAGGAGGGGGGGAACTATGAGAATTTTATTATTATTTATTTGGGGAGATGCTATATGTAGTTCCACTAATATTAACAAGATTAATCAAGTTTCTTAAACTGCCCTGGTTAGAATTTTCATATAATAAGTAAACTGTCATCTGTACAATGTTATATCAGGTTCTTGGGCCTACATACCATGCCATTATGATGTAAAACGTGGATGTGAGGCTTAGACAGAGCTGAGTGCTCAGCTTCATAGTCCAATTATAGAAACAAACATCATTGTTTACTGAATAGGAGAAGCCAGATTGGCCTCACAGCTGTTCTGGATGAAGTTCTAAAAAGGGAAATCCCAGTGCTCTACCATAATTAGAAAACTTCTTATCTGTGTCATATTCCTGACAGTTATATGTGAAATGGTGCTTGATTGGATGCAAAATTTGGTATGTAACAGGTTTGGTAGCGGGTGTTCAGTTGCGCCGAGGTTCCCAAGATGATCTAGCTTTGTGTCCTAGTCCATCTGGTGCTGTGGGACCAGGTCCAAATGCACCATCTCGTGTTCGCCGTCATGCCAGTGTTGTTCTTCTCCGCCGCAGCCTTGCAGAAACAGGAGGGGTTCAAGCGAATTCTAGTATTTCGCAGCCATCTCTTGCTGTATGGAACTCAACGAAACAAGGTTTCTTCCCCATGTTTCTTCGTTTGCTCTGAATGCATGTGCCTCCACAATTACATTAAAGTTCCTCAGTATGCTTAAAATGTTCCCCATGAAAATATAAGGCTTGATCTAAAGTATTGCGGCATGTAGACCCATTGCTAGACAATGTCTGCAACATACACGCAGCCAACAGTGGCATGCCATGGACAGAAGCAAGGGAAGCATTGCTTCCATAGTTAAGAAACGAAAAGAAAAGAAGTCATATATAAATAATTCAATTTGAATAATAAGGATTTGAATATTGTCATTTAGTGCATGTTCCTGCTCAGGGCCACATGCCTCCTTCTCCTCCCTTCCCTTGCTTGGTGGGACGGACAAAGTTTCCTTCGTTATTCTCCGTAAAAATTTGTCGCACACGAAGTGGGCAAGGAAGCAACTTTCGGTTTGCTGGCTAATGCTTGTGATATGGAAGCGAAGGCCTGTGTTCTTTCAATGGTTATGTGAAAATTAACTGTTTATGTGTGATTTCAGTCTTGTTGGGTGTTATAGGTAACCTTAAGTTTTATTAAAATATTGTAAATGTATATTTAGATGGCGTAAGATTGTATTTGTGATCGTATTTTGACGCATCAGAAAGAAGCTATTTGCGTTTAAGGGAAGCAAATCTGTTACTGTGGTACACAGGCAGGGGCATGATTAGACTACACTCAAAGGCCACAGCTAAAATGAATGCTGGCAGACAACGCGACTGCGACTGTGCAATCGAAAGCCTTTTAAAATGGGGGTTTAATAGCAGGGACTTTTCTGAAAAGAAAATAATTATAGAAAGAGGACGACCGACATGAGAGGTGCCAGAACTTAAAGCACAAACCAAATTATGTATGAGGAAATTTAATTTGGAATAGTATTCTAAAACAGAGTGGCTATCCGTTTGCCGCAATATAGGAAAATTGTTTTGTTGGCCATGCCTATTGTTTCTCAAGGAAAAAAATGTATGGAACAAGACTGGGTTTGGTGATATCAACAACCTTTATATAGCATTGAAACGACATGAGAACTCTCAGACTCGCATTATTTCAACAATGCAACTTATGTTCGGGAAATCTCGAATTGACTGTCAACTTGACAATCAAAAGCGCCTGACGATGCTACATGAAATAATGAAACACTTGATTGATATCATCTGCCATTTAGGAAAGTGGCAATTTGGCCTTCGTTGTCATGACGAAAGCATGGATTCTATCGACCGAGATAATTATGTGGAATTAGTTCACTCGTTGAGGAAATATGATCATAAACTCAACGTTCACCTTGAGAATAGTACAGTTTTTACAGGTTTATCGAACAGAATACAAAACGACCTTACTGACTCAGTAAGTGACATAAATTTTGGTGAGTTGATTGCTATCAGTTCGTTTATTAGATACCACTCCTTCCCTTACCAAAAATAGTACAGCATGCCACTGGCAGCCAACAATATAGGAACAGTGTTTTCTATGTATGCGGTTGGACTGTTGCTATGCAAGGCGCACGCTGTGATGTCACATGACATGTTTCCTGCGTATGCAGTGATATCACACAACAGTAGTGAGTAGCGATCGCATGAAGTGTTTATGATGATGCATTGTTTGTCCCTCAGCTATATAAGTGAGTGACAAAGTTCAGTTGTGATGAGTTATGAGAGATAGTAGCAGTAGAATCATGAGAAGACATCGAGTTGGAACTAGAAGTGACAGTGAGTGTGTGTGACATAGTCCTGAGAGCAGAAGGGACTAGGAACCCCTGCCAGAGGAGGGACGATCTCGCTGACAGAAAGGGACTAACTAATAGATACCACTGCCAGTAAGAGGTTGGGACCTCTCTGGCAGAAAGGGGCTGATAGTAAGCACCAGTACCGGTAGGGTATGGAGACAGTAGAAATTAAAGGGGGATGCACAATGGACCAGTAACCAGTCTAAGTGCATGGGGAAACCCACTCCCTCAATACGGAATACGGAAATAGTCCTGAGAGCAGTTAAAGCTACAAGAGAGAAATAACGGTGGAAGGACACAAACAGTATACAGAAGAATACAGGAGGTTGGCCTGTGAGGATTTAAAGTGTGACTGGAGGATTTTATATGTAATATTTGTAATGATTTGAAGTGATAGTTTCTGTGTTGAGATTCATTGCTTGGTGATGACCAGTGGAAGACAGAGAATGCTAGTGGTGTGCAATTGTGAACTAGAAAGTGTGTAAATCAGCGATAGTGCTGTATTGCCTGATCTAAGTGTAATTAAGAGAGAGAGTGTGTAGCCAAATGCTAATAAATCCAATCATCCAAACTAGAACCCATCATTTTCGTCGCACGTACCACCCTACACGTGACAGTATCAAGACTGAACCTGAGGAAACTAAGATACTAATCATACAGGAATGGAGGACTGTGTTTAACTGTGCACAAAAGATAGAACACAATTTGGGTTCAATGAGCAGGTACATTGTTCTGGTGAATTTTTTAACCACCAGAGTCACACTTTAACTGCCATTCACAAAGCACTGCATCACAAAGATATCTTAACATATATCAGTAACAATGTTGATTATTAATCTGATGTTTTGGAGAATATGAATAGTGCAAAACACCCCCATAATTAAAGAGCACGATCAGCATGTACCAAAGTACAAGACTGTAATCTTCATTGTCACTTTGGGCTTACTGCATCAGCCATAAACAGATTTCCATTGGGATATTACTACATTCTTTCAGAGGACATAATTGCACACCAGTGTTGCATCACCTATCATGATATTCTTCAAGAAAGTTTCTGCTGGTTTCTACATATTCAAGCAAGTCAGAAGCCACAGAAATATGTTTTTTTCATTCTGTCAGCAGCTGTGTAACAAATTTGACTGGGATATGTCCTTTTCATGAATAGCCAGTCTTCCGTCATTTTGCATCAAGTTATCCACTTGAAATAATAATTCATTACTTCTACTGGTTGAAAGGACTCCAGGACATAACTTTTGACATATTCATCCATCTTTGTAACAGTGGATCCATTCAGGAGTTTTTGCTTGGCTCACTGCATTTCAAGGATGCTGTTTCCATCAGTTGAAAAATTTGGGTTATCATGTTTCCAGTCTTTTTTTCAACATTACAGGGTGCTTCACAACCTGTCTTCTATACTTAGGAAACATCAATACGGCATTGGTTTAATTTCTCTTGAGGAGCTGTGTGATGTTAAAGGCCACGCCATAGCTCAAGTAGTTACTTGCTGGCTTCCCACTGTGGCAGCACTGGTTCGATCCTGGGATCTGGTCAAGTGGGATTTGTGGTGGATAAAGTGGTGCTGGGGCGGGTTTCCTCCAAGTACTTCGGTTTCCCCTGCCAATCTTCATTCCACCAAATTCTCCATAATCACCTGGGGCAGGTACAATAGGCCAATAAGTGGCCGCCATGCCGAGTGGACCCATTTGGTCTCCACCCCCCACTAAGCGAATTTAAAATTTTAATTTAATGTCATGTTTTAGGTGCACACATGAGAAAAGAGTGTTAATCAGATGAATATATTAACAACTTTTATGACATACACTTTAAATTAACTGTTCAAAATGCCTGCTACAATTTTCAGTGCACAGCCTTGCTTGGTTCAAACATAAGTTTATTGTCCACTGCATTATTTCAGGGTGTTCTCATATGTAAACAACAGCATTCATAATTGGAAGCAAGGTTCCACTCCTGTCTGTACTTTGATCTTGTAGACTATCCCATTCATAAGACCCCATAAGAATGAACAGAGCAGGGTTAGATCTGGAGATCTCAAAAGCCAAGGTATTAGACCAGCACAGCCAGTCTGCTGATTCTGGTTCAAGTAAGCCATAGTGAATGAATGAATAAGGGGTAGGCCATGACTGGTCCTTGCATTATGACCATCATGATTTATTGTTCATCCCCCTTCTGTTTCAGTCCATCAACAGTCCTACACTTCAAAGTGTAGTACTCTTCTTAAAGGGGCATCATGGTATTCATCTGGCTTTATAAAGTAATGCCCCAGGTGATGAAATCTTAAGTAAGCTATAGCATCACAGTCAGGATATGTGTGGCTGATTCATCTTTTTTCAAGCATCTTTGATATGTGGGATTATTGGTTTATTCCATTTTGAAAAGGTGTTCTTTCATGTGACAGTGTGTCCTGTAAGTAGTCCTGTCACCCACTGTTACTGGTTTCTGTTTAGTTTCAATAGTTCTTTAGTTCTTCTGGCAGAGGATCCTTGTAGGAAACCCTTTGCATGTTTGAGTACTGTTAAGGACTCCCAGTAGTATTTTATGTGGTTCCTGTTTGTTTGTCCAGTCCCTGAACACAAAGATCATAATCATTTTGTTGAAATGTCTGCACATTGCAGATAAGGATACAATCTCTGTCATGTATGGTTTGCCATACCTGAACTACAGATTCATAAATATGAGTGGATATCCTTTGAACACTGGTCATTAGGCTATACTGTACTCAGTCCATTATGCAGTCTTCCACAGCATTGGGCCATCGTGCTACAGATTCTTGGTTATCCCTGTTTCCCCTAATCTCTGGTATGTATCACTAAGACATGTCTTCTTGTGGTTCCAGCAGTTCAGAAAACATCTACACTCTCAGTTGCTTCCCTACTGTTACTGTCAGAGAGCCCATGAATGTCATCCAACTTACTGGGAGTGAACTGTTGATTAATTCTGCAAACACATGCATAAAGACAGTAAAGTTTTTACCTTATTCCACCAGAATATCATATTTACTCTTAGCATTGATCAGAAGCAAGTGAGGCAACAAACAACTGAGAACCAGTAGTAGCTACACTTCAACTGAAACCATCACCAGCATTGCCATTTGTTGAATTTCACAGACCTTAACTGAAACTGTCATCACTGTTGCTATGTACTGAATTTCACAGAAGTGAATAATGTAGAACTGGTAATGCAAACCATACAAGGAATTTGTATGAATGAACACACACACACACACACCCTATTCCCTTCAGCCCTGAAGATGAAGGCAGTGTGTACCTCTGAAACATAAGCAACACTGCCCACTTCCACACAATGCAAATGCCAAAGAGTGAATCAGTATCAACAATGAACCACTGTGGAAACCTGAAATTAGTAATGCAGTCCATGTTCCATGTTACATCAACATATTGCATAGAGATACAAAATTTCTGTCACTGTGATGGAAAAACGGAGATCGAGATGTTTCAGAAGAGAATGCTGAGAAAAAGATTTTGATTGAAGTGAAATAACATGTTCCATAACAGGAGGATGTTTCTTGATAAATATAACTACAGGGTGAATTGTATAGAACCGGCCCGATGAATTTGTTAATAATTCCGCAGGTGATGTATATAACCGCTCACAATTACAACATAATCCATGGGCCATGCTGAGTCGAATGGTGTGCACATGATCCAGCAAGTGGCAGCCCTTATGCTACAAGGTTAAGGACAATCCAAAAACGTGTCTGCGGTGCACAGGCAGCAGTCATGGAGTACACTGTTGAACAGCCAGTGTTTCTCGTGTGCATGTACTGGGTGACAGGCTGGATTGCGAACACACAATTGGAATTCAGGAGGAAGTTTGGAGTTCGCAAGAAGCCAGCGAAATCGACTATACAGTCCTTGGCTCAGAAATTGGAAAGGATAGGGACACTTTTTAAGTGAACGTGGTAAAAACCACCCAGAAATGCCAGAAGAAACGATTGCAATTTTGCGGGACAGGTTACTGCAGTCTCCTAAGAAATCATTATGACATCTAAGCCAGGAAACCAGGTATTCTTACTCAGCGTGTCAACAGGCTGCAAAGAAAGCGAATCTTCATCCCTACAAGATCACCAGTGTTCAGGAATCATCTTTAAAAAGATGTGGCCCCCAAAATCCCCCGACCTTACCAGCCCATATTTTTTTCTCTGGGGTTTACTGAAGGACAGGGTGTATGCAAACAAATCGTGTACGTTACAGGATTTAAAGGACAACATTTCGGCTGAAATCAGGAACATCACTGAAGAAACACTGCAGCGAGTCACGGTGAATATGCAAACGCGGGTGGAGGTGTGCCTATTTGAAAACGGCGGACACTTTGAACACCTGCTCTGATCATGGCACACAGTCCAAGATAAGATACGATGGGGTACCCAAAAGAAACCGAACTATTTTTTTTGTGGGCAGAGCTTTTGTAGTAGAACCGCATTTTGCCGCTATGAGTGCATAGAGCTAACATTCCTGAGTCGATAAGCCGACTACCTTTGCTTCAGAAGGTAAGGACTAGTTTTGGCAGAGTTTATAGTGACAACTGTTTTGTGTGATCATCATTTTTGCAATGGCTGATTTTCGTGAAAAGCGTGCAGCGGTGAAATTCTGCTTTTTGCCCGGGAAAAGTGGAACAGAAACTCTTGAAACGTTAAAAACGGCGTACAAGGACGATGCTATGGGGAAAACTCAAGTGTTTGAGTGGGTTTCCCGTTTCAAAAATGGTGAAATGTCAATTGATGACAAACC